ATATTACAATAATATTTTCATAAAAATAATCAAAAATGAATTTAATCATTTTTATTATATGAAAAATTTATATATTGCACTGTTTCCCCGATTAAGGATTTAAAGTTGAGAATTACCCACTATTTTAATTCTCCTAGATCCTGGAGTACGTCTTATTTCATTAGAAGATTTTATTTCACACATTAATCACAAATTATAAAAATATAATGTATTGTGATAATAATAATAATTATAATAAAATGTAACATTCATGACAATCAGTGAATATTAAGGTATAACATAAGTATACAATATGGCAGTGGTTTAACACAATATAGACAGCTAAATAACAACAGTTATGTATGCAGTTTCCAACAAGATTTGCTATAGGACACTTTACTTTGAAATCAACTTATACAGAACACAGCATCTCGCAGCATTTCACAGCAGCACAGCGTAAAGCAATACAAACTTTGGCTTACACTAAATTAACTCTTTCACTGCTGGCCACAATCCTAATAGGCAAGATATCCTATTATATTTCAATTTTACATCTACAATAATTCTCATACCAGATCATTTACCATTCCTGTGTCCATCCAATAAGAATAATTCTAACCAGATTTTACAGTTGCAGAATTTTAACTTTCCTAATTAAGATTCACTATTTCTAAATGACGTAACCTAACATATCTGGATAATTTCCTGGTATTCTGTTTTTAAAGTTAAAAGTAATATAGAGTTCATTGGTCCACCTGCAGGAATGGAATTACGAATTCTATATATTATTAACGAATCATGGCTCCTTAAATGTTGGAATCACCAACGTTTATTCAAGAATATTCTGCCTTTTAGTAAAATCAATCAATTTAATTTAGTTAAATAAAACTAGCATAATTACCAGTTATGTTGTAGAAATTATTATCAGGTGTGTAGATATGTCCCAGGGATTTTGAATGCAAATATGATGAGAATTGTAAAAAATGTTTTAAAAGTTTTCAGAGTTCTGAAGTTGTGTTAGTTGGAAAAGATACAAAGTGTGAGTCTTGAGTTAATGTCAGAGCCAAAGAGTGATTTTAATTGTAAGAGTCTGAGTGTTTGAGAGTGAGAGTCTTGAGTCCAGTTTTAGTATCAGTCCCCCTCTCTCCTTTATCCTTCATTTTTAAAGGAGACATTTCCTGTACGTCACTAGTTTATAGGACCAATAGGGAACTGTGGGCGTGTCTTCCCTACACACTTTCATTTAGATTTTGGTCAGTAGATGACGCAATTACATCACCGAAAATTATTGTCAGGGGGTCCGTTTATCTGTTTTTTTAATGAGTTAACTGATTTTCGTGATGCGTTTGACGTCGTTTGGGTATCTTTTTATGGCTACTATTCGTCACAGAAGCTGTCATCTTCAAAGGGTTTTTCCAGTCTTAGTGTCTGGCGTATACCTTTAAATTTAGATTTCTGACACATCTTAAACTCTTCTACACCTCTCCTTACAATGCAGCTTTGTAAGATTCCGTTCTTTTTTTTTTTTTTTTTTAAGAAAGTAAAATTAATTACTTAGTGTTAACTGTGTAGCTAGTATTATCTACACGGAGTGCAGAATTATTAGGCAAATGAGTATTTTGACCACATCATCCTCTTTATGCATGTTGTCTTACTCCAAGCTGTATAGGCTCGAAAGCCTACTACCAATTAAGCATATTAGGTGATGTGCATCTCTGTAATGAGAAGGGGTGTGGTCTAATGACATCAACACCCTATATCAGGTGTGCATAATTATTAGGCAACTTCCTTTCCTTTGGCAAAATGGGTCAAAAGAAGGACTTGACAGGCTCAGAAAAGTCAAAAATAGTGAGATATCTTGCAGAGGGATGCAGCACTCTTAAAATTGCAAAGCTTCTGAAGCGTGATCATCGAACAATCAAGCGTTTCATTCAAAATAGTCAACAGGGTCGCAAGAAGCGTGTGGAAAAACCAAGGCGCAAAATAACTGCCCATGAACTGAGAAAAGTCAAGCGTGCAGCTGCCACGATGCCACTTGCCACCAGTTTGGCCATATTTCAGAGCTGCAACATCACTGGAGTGCCCAAAAGCACAAGGTGTGCAATACTCAGAGACATGGCCAAGGTAAGAAAGGCTGAAAGACGACCACCACTGAACAAGACACACAAGCTGAAACGTCAAGACTGGGCCAAGAAATATCTCAAGACTGATTTTTCTAAGGTTTTATGGACTGATGAAATGAGAGTGAGTCTTGATGGGCCAGATGGATGGGCCCGTGGCTGGATTGGTAAAGGGCAGAGAGCTCCAGTCCGACTCAGACGCCAGCAAGGTGGAGGTGGAGTACTGGTTTGGGCTGGTATCATCAAAGATGAGCTTGTGGGGCCTTTTCGGGTTGAGGATGGAGTCAAGCTCAACTCCCAGTCCTACTGCCAGTTCCTGGAAGACACCTTCTTCAAGCAGTGGTACAGGAAGAAGTCTGCATCCTTCAAGAAAAACATGATTTTCATGCAGGACAATGCTCCATCACACGCGTCCAAGTACTCCACAGCGTGGCTGGCAAGAAAGGGTATAAAAGAAGAAAATCTAATGACATGGCCTCCTTGTTCACCTGATCTGAACCCCATTGAGAACCTGTGGTCCATCATCAAATGTGAGATTTACAAGGAGGGAAAACAGTACACCTCTCTGAACAGTGTCTGGGAGGCTGTGGTTGCTGCTGCACGCAATGTTGATGGTGAACAGATCAAAACACTGACAGAATCCATGGATGGCAGGCTTTTGAGTGTCCTTGCAAAGAAAGGTGGCTATATTGGTCACTGATTTGTTTTTGTTTTGTTTTTTGAATGTCAGAAATGTATATTTGTGAATGTTGAGATGTTATATTGGTTTCACTGGTAATAATAAATAATTGAAATGGGTATATATTTGTTTTTGTTAAGTTGCCTAATAATTATGCACAGTAATAGTCACCTGCACACACAGATATCCCCCTAACATAGCTAAAACTAAAAACAAACTAAAAACTACTTCCAAAAATATTCAGCTTTGATATTAATGAGTTTTTTGGGTTCATTGAGAACATGGTTGTTGTTCAATAATAAAATTAATCCTCAAAAATACAACTTGCCTAATAATTCTGCACTCCCTGTATATATGTCTATTACACATATTCCACTAACCTTAGTAAATAATATGTAATTTCTTCATTGATATGATATCCATGAATATTCTATATTATTAACATAGTACTAATTATAAATGATTAATATAATAATAGTAAATTATATGTGGATATTGTGTGTGTGTATATATATATATATATATATATATATATATATATATATATATATATATATATATATATATATATATATATATATATATATATATATATACACACATGTCTCTGAGTTGTAGCATTCAACCCCCCTTTTGCTGTTAGACATCATGCCTTATCTCAGGTTTTATCTCTTATGTTTATGTAAGTCGCATTCCTTAGCTTAGACCTGAATGGATAGAATTACAGAGAAGTAAAATGTGTCTGTTTTGGCATTCTGTTACAAAATGGAGTCACCTCTGTTCTGATGGTGACTTACAGTATACACTTTTAATTTCTGTCTTTACACAAAGTGTCTGCCTATAAATATACTGACAGGGTTATTCAAAATTCAAGATGAATTTCAAATCTAAGGTCCAATTAGCAAAACTGTAAAATATTCTCTAAGTCAGCTATGCTTTCAGTTCAGCTACCTTGGTCTTGAGTTCGAAATTTTCTTTCAATTCACTAGAGTTCCAGGTTGGCAAATGTTAAATATGTGCAAATTTCATTGCACCTAATTGCATTCATTGACTGAGAGTGGTCAGCTGATGCCTTCAATCAATACATGGCAATGTCTTTTTTCAGCTCTGCAGAAACCTGACTTGAGTTACTAGACTACCAAAGAGAATCAAAGCCAAGTGGGATCACAGGTAAAGGGGTTGCAAAACAGTTTGTCCCATTACTGGGGAACTGAGCCAGGGTACTTCTGGCATCATAACCATCATAGTGGGTTGCAGTGTTTATGATGCTTGTAGTAAACCTTGAAGAAACACTCTCACCCCAATAATATCCTAAGCTCATTTAATTTGTTATGTGAACAGGAATGTCTGAGCATTATCTTAGCTTCAAGGTTTAAACACTGAACCCAGTAATTGAGTCTATGGAACCCAATACCATTGCCCCCGTTTCCTTCCTTTCTGCCTGTGCAGTATGAGGAAGGTTTAGCTGGACAGCAGCTGATGATCTCAACCTATCACTGGCTTCCCCAAATCATGCTATTTCTCTCAATTGGAGACCAATTATAGGAAGGAGCACTGAATATTTAAAATACACACACAATATAAGATATATTTACTCATCTTGAATGCTTATTACTGTTAGGGTTATTCACTCAACTTCAAATTGCAGCAAATTGGCAATTTACCAGTTTAGACGAATATAGATAATTTAGAGAAAAGGTCTTACTGGCTCCACACCAATTGGAACTAAACCATCTGGTTCCATATGGGGCCACTCAGACTGCATAATCCAGCTATTGTTCATAGTTTTTTTTAACAAAGTCTGAATTTTGCAATTCTGTGTCCGAATGAGCCAGAGCTTCGAGTTTATTCTGTCCAAACACTGCCCAATGACCGAAATTTGGGCCTGGATTTTTAAAATTAAAATCCGGTACCCGATGCTTAGAAATGTCTGAACAATTTTCCCACTGGAAGCCTTTTGACACACCCCCATAAGCTTTTTTTAAAATGTATTTACTAATTTCATTTTAACTCTGGTGGCTGGCCAAATTCAACATAACTATTTGCCTATTGGTTGCTAATGCTGCTAGTAGGATAAGAGCAATGATTAATTATTATTATTATTGGTATTTTTATAGCACCAGCAACAAAAGGAACAATAGGTAGTTGAGCACCCTGCTTAAAAACCCATCTTTCCAGGAATGCTTATGGCCTCCATGAGTAACTTTTATGTCTCAATCCTTCCTCTTGCTCTCTCCTATAGGGCCACACTCCACTCTCACCATGATGGGAAAGTAGCAGAGCATGGTGAGAGTGGAGTGTGGCCCTATAGGAGAGAGCAAGAGGAAGGATTGAGACATAGAAGTTACTCATGGAGGCCATAAGCATTCCTGGAAAGATGGGTTTTGAGGGACTTCTTAAAGGTTTGAAGACTAGGGGAGAGTCTGACAGGGGTAGATAGGCTGTTCCAAAGGAAAGAAGCCTGCCCGTGAGAAGTCTCACAGGTGGGAATTTGCAGTAAGGGTGCGAGCAGCAGAAAGGAGAAGGTCACCGGTAAGAGGGGCTAGAGGTGGTTAGAGCTTTATAGGTAAGGTATTTTAAATTGACACCTGTAGGGGACAGGAAGCCAGTGTAAATATTGACAGAGGGGTGAGGTGTGGGAGGAGCGACAGGAGAGAAAGATCAGCCTGGCAGCAGCATTCACCAGAGATTGAAGGGGGGCAGTACGGCTTTTGGGGAGACCAATTATGAGAGGATTACAGTAATTGATGCAAGAGATTACTAGAGCATGAACAAGCTCCTTGGCAGCATCTTGCTTAAGAAAGGGGCGTATGCGGGCAATGTTTTTAAGTTGGAATCGACAGGTTTTAGCAACAAACTGGACATGAGGTGCAAAGGTGAGGCCAGGATCAAAAGTGACACCAAGACAGCGAGCTTGAAAGAATGGGGTGAGGCAGGTACCGTCAACCTGCAGGGAGAGTGAAGGAGGAGGAATCAGTGTTGTGAGGAGGAAAATTAAGAAACTCAGTTTTAGAGGGATTGAGTTTCAGAAAGCGGGAGGACATCCAATCAGAGATAGAAGAAAGGCAATTGGTGACAAGTTGTGGGACAGCAGGGGAGATGTCAGGGGAGGAGAGATATATCAGGTGGTAGTGAAATACAAATAAGTTAATGAGTTTACCAAGAGAGGCAGTATAGAGAGAGAACAAGAGGGCACCAAAAACTGAATCTTGAGGGATTCTGACTGAGACAGGATGAGGAGGGAAGGTGCTGTTGGAAACAGAGACACTAAAGGAGCCTTGGGAGAGATAGGAGGAGAACCATGAGAGGACTGTGTCACAGAGACCAATAGATTGAAGAGTTAGGGAAGGCATCCATGATCAACAGTGTTAAAGGCAGCAGAGAGGTCAAGAAGAATTAGTATTCAGGCCTTTGGATTTGGCTGTAATTAGGTCATTTGTAACTTTAATAAGAGCAGTCTCAGTAGAGTGGAGGGGGCGAAAGCCAGATTGAAGATTTAGGATGTGTGTTAAGGAGAGGAGAAGTGCAGCCACCTCCTGTTCAGTAGTCGGAGGAAAGTCTTGGAGGGTAGGGATGGTATGGTCCAAGTGAGGTTGAGATAGAGAGGGGAGAAGGGGGGAGAATTCATTTCTTAGCTGTTTAATCTTGTCAGTATAGTAACATGCAAAGCTATCAGCTGAAAGATTAGGTTGTGGGTGACCATGGCAGGGCGAAGAATTGAGATGCCTAGGATTGCGGGAGCATGAACTAATGAAAAAAGAAAAGTAAGACTTAGTGTGCCACGGTTGCATGCGTGCCCTCCTTGAGGAGCATGCTTGGAGTGGGGCTGCAGCATCAAGGGCAGAGGTGAGGGTAGCATTATATGAGGAGGTAGCCAAAGAGGGACAGGAGAATGTAGGAGATCAGCTGAGAGTTGCTTGAGGTCAAGAGAATTCAGATTCCCTGAGTTGCGGGGGCTTAGGTTGAGGGTATTGGGTGTGTGGGGGCACTCGAGAACAAATGATAGGAGTTGGTGGTCTGATAAAGGAAATGGAGTATTACAGAGATTGGAGACTGAGCATGCATTTGAAAAAAATAAGATCTACTGTATTGTCAGCTACATGTGTGGGAGAATTAGCCCATTGCGATAGCCCAAAGGAGGAGGTGATTGGAATAAGTTTTGAGGCTACTGAGGACAAGGGTGGGATAATGGCAATGTCAAAATCCCCTAGAATTAGGAATGGGATATTGCTTGAGTTGAAGGAAGGAAGTCAGGCAGCAAAATGGTCATGATAGAGACAAGGAGAACCTGGGGTTCGATAAATAAAGACAGTGTTAACAGATATGGGTTTGAATAAGTGAGGGAAGGGGTGGGGGGGTTGAGGTTTGAAGGAGCAGTGGGGAGAAAAGAGAAACCCTACACTGCCACCTTTACTGTCAGACTGTCTTGGGTTGTGCGTAATTTGTAGACCACCATAGTATAATGAGGTAGGGGTGTCAGAAGGAGTAACGTTTCAGTTAAAGCAAGTACGTTTAGGGAGCGTGAGATAAATAAGTCATGGATAGAAGTAGATTTAGTTACGTTGCACACAGAGTGTGCATTCCAGAGGGCAGAATGGAAGGAGGGCTTAAAGGGAGAGTTACATGGGATGGCTATAAGATTGGAGAGGTTTCTGGGTTGGACACAAGGTAGGTTTGTAGAGGCGGGACTAGGGTTTGGAGAGACATCGCCAGCTGCCAGGAGCAGAAGCATAGAAAGTAAGAGAAGGTGAGAGTAAGATTTAAATTTCTGGGAGCAATACTTAAATTTGTTTACTGGGGCTAAGACTCAACATAAGGCTTTTGAGCTGCAAGACCTGCTAGCTGTGAGTTCTGGGAGCAATCCTTAATTGTGTTAATGATTATCATTCACTCACAAACAGACATTAAATGACACTTTGCAACTGCACATGCTGCTGGGCGTATTCAGTCCTGATTTTCGTTAGAACTAATGCTTTAAAATGTCCAAATCTGATGTTTTACATGGCATTTGGATGTGAAAAGCACTGATTATAAAGTTGACACTGATTGCATATGACCAAATGATGCAGATTCGGTTGAGATGATCAAATTCTGACTAATTTTGGCTTTAGAATATATAGGAGAAGTGCCAATTCAGTCGGAATTTGGTCATTTTAATTGTTGGCATTTTGATACAGAGACCACAGTTATTTTTTTTTATTATTTGTTTTTTAACACATAAAGAGTCTTAACTCTTATCATGTCTTTGCCTCTCCAATTTGCCTCCACTTTTTCTATCCCCATAAATATCATATTACTGGGATCTCTATTATGTTTCAATTGATAATGTAAAGATAGGCTATATTTGTCGTAGCCATTTTTTAAATTACGCACATGCTCCTGTATACTTATGTTCAACATGCGTGTAGTGCATCCTATGTAAATTAATCCACACGGGCATTTGATAAGATATATCACTCCCTTGGAGTAGCATGTAATTTTATGTTTTATTGAGAATGACTCACTGTCATTACAAGGATAGTTACATTCTCTTACACAACACTTTTTGCTATAAGTGTTTTTACATTCCCCACAATATCCGCTTCCATAAAAACATTTCTGTTTATTAAAGAACTGTTTATGTTCTTATGGCCTTGCTGGTTCGGGACTAAGCTTGTTCCTAAATTTGGGACCCCTTTATAAATTATCAGGGGCTTATCAGGAAGTATCTTATTGAGTGCGTCATTACCCCTCAAAATTGGCCAATATTTATGGATTATTCTTTTAAAATTGTGACTACGACAATTAAAATCACATTTAAGTGCTACTTGGTCATTATTACTCCCTTCTGTTTTGGTTTAATATTCCAATAGTGAATTCCTATCTTTAGATTCTACTTCTTGATGTGCTTTGTTTAATAACTCATCACTATATCCTTTTTCTTTAAAGTCCCCTATAATTTTAAGTGCCTGTTCTTGAAATTTTTTCTCATCAGTGCAATTCTGTTTGTTTCTTAATATCTGGGCCTTGGGGGCATTTAAATTTAATGGTGAGAAGTGACCATCTTCAATGTAGCTGTTCACATCGACCTCTTTAAAATACTTGCTATACGTGTTATAAAACCAAAACAGAAGGGAGTAATAATGACCAAGTGGCACTTATATGTGATTTTAATAGTCGTAGTCACAATTTTAAAAGAATAATCCATAAATATTGGCTAATTTTGAGGTGTGATGAAGCACTTAATAAGATACTTCCTGATAAGCCCCTGATCATTTATAACGGGGTCCCAAATTTAAGAACAAGCTTAGTCCAGAACCAGGAAAGGCCAAAAGAACATTTATTTAATGAACAGAAAGGATTTTATGGAAGAGGGGCATTTAAACACTTAAAGCATAAAGCGTTGTGTAAGATAATTTAACTATCCTTGTAATGACAATGAGTCATTCTCAATAAAACAAATAATTACATGCTACTCCAAGGGAGTGATATATCTTATCAAATGCCCGTGTGGGCTCATTTTCATAGGACGCACTACACGCATGTTGAACATAAGGATACAGGAGCATGTGCGTGATATAAAAAATGGATACGATAAACATATCTACTTCAATTTCAAGGAGAGGGCAGTGTCCCCCCTAAGTGGCACAAGGCTATTTTACTTGGAGCCACATTTTGAGGTTCCTAAAGAAGGTGAGCAGTTTATTTAAATCATTGTGCACTGAGTCACTTTACATTGCCTGACATACTTCACCAGAGGATGCTGCTTCTCTCTCTTTTTTTTTTCTCCCTTTTGAGTGTATTCAACAAAAGACAGCAGAGGGATAGTGTCACCATAGAACACATCTGCTAGAGTGATTTGAGCTTATCCCATTGGCTCTACATTTGTGAGTGAGATATAATAAATTACCTTGTCACATTCTTGGTTTAATACTTTATTGCACCATATTGTGTTTTCTTTTATATTATAGCTCTGATTTTATATGGTATCCCTTATTGTATAAGGGTAAGTGTGTTGTTTTTTATATTCTTTTAGCGCTCCACTGTGTGCACTGGTGGTAGTATACTTGTTCACAAATCCCTGGCCTATTCGAACTCATAATAACAAAACACCCAACTCCCTGCAGGTTATGACCTCAGTGGGTCGGCCTGAATATTAGACAGCAGCCTGGCGTGCATTCACTCCAGGCTGACCGGCCAGTAATTTATCTAAACCTGCCCCCTTTTCATGTTGGCCCCTTTGGGTGGAGCCTGTGACACGATCACATCACTAGGTATGTTATTATGGGAAGGAATAGGCCAGGTAATTATGCTTATTATAAGTTCAAATAGGCCTGGAATGCA